CTATATATTTATTCGAAACGCGCTTTTTGAATTTTTTTAATTAAAGTATTTTATTATATGTAACCTGAATTTTGTTGATCTTTTTTCTTTTATTAATTGATTTTTTACATGTTTTGATATAATAATGAGCATTCCATTTTTTTTTATTTAATAAATTTTGGATATATAAAAATAAATAAAAATATATAAAATTTTAATAAATTAAATTATTTTATATAATATATACCTTTTCTAATATTATTGTAAAAAAAAAAATATTTGTAATTAATAAATAAACTAAATGAATTTTATATTAACATTCAAAAAGATATTAATATAGGAAGTTTAATAAAATCATAAAATAATAAATAACATAAAATAAAATAATAAATACAAATAATAAAAAACAAAAAAAAATTACAAATATTAATATATAAAAATATGGAAATCGAATAAATAATACAATTAGTTTTATAAAAATATGAAAAAATCCTTAATGAAAAAATTAAAAATATAGAAACACCGCAAACAATAATCTCCAGTATAATAATAAAACTCGAAAAAACCCAAAAATATGAAATAATATCTATTGCAAATGGCACAAAATCTATCGGAAACAGATAAATGTCTCTAAAAGGAAACGTTATACACGATTCACATGCCGAAATTTTAGCCAAAAGGGCTTTTTAGCGTTTTATTTATGATAATTTGGACAATGAATTATATTTTGAGAAAATAAATAAAAAATACCTCCCGAAATTTCAAACGATTTTATTCACAAGCCAAAAGCCATGTGGAGGATGTTCCGAAAAAGAAACCACTGGAGCCAAATATTACTAATTTTTGACTGAAGAAAAATATAATGAAGAAAAAGATAAAGAAAGCTACATTTTGAGAATTAAACCAGGTAGAAATGACATCCCTATGTGCTAAAGATCTGCAAGTTTGTCATGTAGTGATAAAATTATGAAGTGGAATTTGGTAGGAATATAAGGAAGCCTTTTAATATAATTCCTTAAAAAACCTATATATTTAGATTAGATTATTATAGGCTAAAAATAAGGAGAAAACTTAAATTTAGAAGTTATTTAGGAAGGATTTTTAATTTCGAAAAGAAAAAAAATGCATTCTATTTGGAAAAAATAAATATAGAAGAAATATAATGAAAATTTACCAAAAATATAGGTTTTTAATTTGCCGCCAAAAATGAATTTTTTTTCTAATGAAGGTATTAAATATATGGATTAACATCTTATTTTTTTATAAAAGTATTATTTGTTAAATTCATATTTTAATTTATATATATTTTATTGAAGAAATTAAGATGAAGAATATATAGAAATTATTAATGGAGTTAAAGGTATTAAATGGGGAATGGGAATCAAAGGAGCTGAATTAAAGGGTAATTATCCTTATTATTGTAAGTATAATATGTATATAGAATATTTAAAAAGAAAAAATATTAATATTTAATATTTAACAGCTAAAATACTAGCAAGAAAATATAATTTAATTAAAAGAAGGCTTTTTAATTAATTTTAGGACTAATAAAAAATAAATAAATCTTAGTTTTATTAATTTTATAAATGAAAAAATATGTAAATTAAAAAAAATATTATTAATTTTAGAATAAATAAAAAGATTATTTATATTAAAAAATGAAGCAAAAAAAATCATTTTTTTTTTAATTCTAATTAATTTTCATTCATTATTAATTTTCCTGTTGTCTTTAAAATAGTTGTCGGTTTTTTTTTTTATTCTTCATTATTAGTATTTTATTGACTTTTTAGAATTTTTTAACCTTAATAACTACTTGAAGTTTTACCCAAAGTTTATTTAATATATACGTTATTTTAAATTTATTAAGTTTTTTATTATTAATTCTTTTACACTACTTGTTCGTTTTTTAATTATCTTTTAATAATATTACTATTTTTGATTCTTATCCACTAACTTAAGAAATAGAAGTTAAAGAAGGAACATTATTGCTTTTTTTATCATCTTTATTTTTATATCTGCTATATTTTTTATATTTTTAATTTTTTTATTTTTAATTTCTACAATTTATTTTTATTTGGCTTTTTTTTCTAAATAAGAAGAAGCGATTTTATTTTATTTTTTCGAAATATTATTAATATTTAATGAATTTTATTATTATAAAAATTATTTTTTATGTAATTTTTATTATTCTTATTATTCTTTAAAATAAGCATCGTTAAAATTTTCTTAATATTTTTTCAAAATTTAATTTTCTAATTAATTTTACATAGCATACTATATTAACATATTAACTTTTTAATCTTCGTCTAATTCTAAATTTAATTCTTAAGTCGAACAAATTCTTCTATATTCTTATTTTAAATTATTATTTAAGTTTTTAGTACTCAAATCATGTATTTCATCTGAATTATTCTCATAATCTAAATCTTCAATAACTTTTTTTACATATTTTTAAATATTTTCTTTTTATTCTTCATTTGTTAATTATTAATTTTAATTGAAATCTAATGAGATCGATTACGAGGAATTTACTTAATTTTATAATTAATTAATTTGTTCTTCATTTTTTATTTAATCTTATTATACTTCTTCTTAAATTTTTCTTTCTAACTCTTCTAATTATTTATATTGTTGGATTAAAAACTATTGTTTTTATACCTTTTATTTTTCTTCATATTGCTATTTTTATTCTAGTAATAATATTTATTTTTTCTCGTCTTCTACTTTTTTTTCTTCTTCTAAATTTTATTATTATTTTTATTATTCCAATTTTAGTTACATTTCATATATTATTTACTCTTATTCTAATTATTGCTTTTTTTCTATTTCTAATATTTGTTATTTTTCTTAATATAATTTTTATTATTTTGTTTATTCTAATTATTGATATTTTTATTATTCTAATTATAATTGCATTTATTATTCTAAATTTTATTGTTTTAATTTTTATTGATCTTATTATTATTGTTCTAATTATAATTGTTGTTCTGATTCCAATTACAATTATTATTCTTATTCTTTAAATATAGCTAATTATTATTTTTCATAGACTAGTTTCTATGATTATAACAATCTTTATTAATCTTTATATTCCTTAACTTAATTTTAAGAGCTATTACTTAGTTATTTTAAATGTTTGACTTCTTACATTTAACTAAAATTTTATTACTATAATTATTCCTATTATTAATATTATGAACTAATATTTAATGATTTATAAAGCAAATTATTTTATTATTCTTATAATAATTGACTAATATTTATTGATTTCTGAAGCTAAGAATTTTATAAATCCTAAGAAAATTGTAATTATTAATATTAAGAACAAATACTTATTGATTTCTAAATCTAAAAATTTTATTATTAATAAAATGATTATTATTATTATTATTATTATTATTATTATTATTATTTTTCTTTTTCTTTTTCTTTTTATTATTATTATTCTTATTATTCATGTTTATATATTTTTTATTATTGTTATTATTTTTTTTATTGTTATTATTTTTATTATTGTTATTATTGTTATTATTGTTATTATTTTTATTATTGTTATTATTGTTATTATTGTTATTGTTGTTATTATTGTTATTATTGTTTTTATTGTTATTATTGCAATTATTTTTATTATTGTTATTATTTTTATTATTGTTATTATTGTTATTGTTGTTTATTTTCTAATTATTGATATTATTATTATTATTATTATTATTATTATTATTATTAATATTATTATTATTATTATTAACTGTAAATAAATTTTTACTTTTTTTTATTTTCTTGTTCTTATGATTTAATACTTTATTAATTTTTTAAACTTTAACTATCTAAAATTGATTATTCATTTTTTTAAAAAATACTTTCTCCATTTTCTAATTTTTTTTCCTAATTTACACTTCCTATTTTTGAACAACTTTTTTATAAAGTATTAATTTTTTTAGGTGTTTAACTAGTTGAAGATTTTCTTTACCTTTCTTATCCTAAGGCAATTATGTAATTTTACCTATTTTTTGTACTTTTTTGATAAATACTATTCAAAGAAGATACTCTAGATCTACTTCTTGGTGATTAAAGTTCTAATTTTTATAAATTTTTTTCTAATTATAATTCTTTTGCTATTTTTTTAGCTATTTCAATTTCTTTTTCTTAATTCTATAGCTTTAAAATTTCTTATTCTATTGTTTTTTTATGACTAATTTCTTTTAATTCCTTTAATTTTTTTTCTAAATTCTCTATTTCTAATTTATGCAATTTTATTTAATTTTCAGGATTTTTTTTTACTTAAAAAAAATCGCTTTTTTAAATGTTTTATTAATGAGAAACTTTCAGTATTTGCAAAAGAGTTTTTAAATAAAAAGCTTTAGTATTATTTTATTTTAATTCTTATATAAAATTTGGACCCAATTTACTTTCTAAAGAACGGTATAATACAGGATTTCTCTAAATTTAGCTATTTAAGTGAAATAAATCTTCTTTTTTTTAAGATAATTATGTTTTATGCAAATAATAATTATCGTTTTTATTAATAAAATGTCTTTCTCGTATATTTATATGATTCGCATTTTTTAAGGGAGATTATTTTTTCTAACTTTTTTATCGGTATAATTAATCAATTTATAGCTAATTTTTTTTTTTCTAAAAATATAGTTTAAATTATTTGTTTTTTAACTTTTATTTTTATTAGATCTTTATGAATTTTTTTTATGTGTTTATAAAACTTTTCGGAATTATGATTTGCAATCATTTTTTTTTTATTTGAATTTTATATTTTTTTTTTTTATTATTATTTATTTTATAAACATTATATACTAAATTATAATTTTTGTATTTACTTGCTTAAAATTGTTTAAATATATTTTTTGTTCGAAAATACATTATTAAATAAAAATTTATTTAGAAAAATATATTTTAAATTAATAATTAAAAAATAATATATAAATTATATATATATTTATTTAAATATACGTATATATTTTTTTATTAATAATCCTAAAATTATATAAATACAAAAAAAAAAAGATATGTAAGAAAAAGATTTAGAAACATTAATATTATCAGAATTAAATACTAATAACACAATTCTAAACTCTAAAGCCTTTTCTGACCTTTAAAATATACCTCACTAAGAAATCATAGGTATATTGACATCTTTGTCATCTGAAGAATATGTTGTTTTAATCAACCAAGAATAAAAATAATGGGTTTTATCATCCGAAGGAGAAGAAAATGTATCTTTAGGTACTCCTGAATTCCGCTTATATTAAGGAATACCCGATTAAGGTATTAATAAGGACGAATTAGGTAAAAATTTTGATAAGAATGTATTTAAATTCGGTTTTTAAAATGGTATGAAAAAAAAATGGTTTTTAATTTAAGATGGTCTAGTAAAGAAATTAACTTAAAACGTTATAGACGAAGATTCGATTTTGTTAAAAAAAATAAAAGGTAATACAGATCTTGAAACTATACCAAAAGAAGTACTAGATAATTTAAAAAAAAGAAAAATTATTTCATTGGAAATTATAAAATACTTTGAAGTAAAAAAAGGTATTAATTTTTAATTAAAAAGAGAAAAAAAAGAAACTGATTTAACTTACGAAATGATAAAAAATAATGATTTCGATAAAAAATAGTTCAAACCACATAATTGGCATTCTATGGGATAAATAATGTAAAAAAAAAAATAAAAAATAAAAAAATAAAAAAATATATTATATATATATATATATAATTATATATATATTTATATTATTATTTTTATTTTTATATATTACATTTTAGTGAAACTGGAAATCTACATCCATTAATGAAAGTTCGTAAATAATTCCGTGAAGTTCTCTTAGAAATGGGTTTCGAAGAAATGCCCACAAATTAATTTGTTGAAAGTTCTTTCTGGAATTTCGACGCCTTATTTTAGCCTTAATAACATCCTGCAAGAGATGCTCATGATACTTTTTTTATTAGAGATCCATCAAAAGCTCAAAATAGAGATTAAGAATATTGGGAAAAAGTAAAAAAGGTACATGAAAATGGAGGATACGGATCTATAGGCTATAGATACAATTGGAGCTATGATGAGGCTAAAAAGAATATTTTTAGAACACACACTACAACTGTATATATTTATATTAAAATATATTTTTATATTAAAAAAAGGTCTCTTCTAAAATGTTAAGAGAAATAGCTAAATAAAAAGAATTTAAGCCAAGAAAATTTTTCTCCATTGATAGAGTTTTTAGAAATGAGTCTTTAGATGCTACACATTTAGCTGAATTTCACTAAATAGAAGGTGTTATTGCCGATAGAAATGTTGGTTTAGGTGAATTATTAGCTGTGATCAAGGAGTTTTTCACTAAAATAGGAATCCGATCGCTAAAGTTTAAGCCCACTTATAATCCTTATACTGAACCTTCTATGGAAATACATGGATATCATCCAATTCTTAAAAAATATATTGAGCTAGGAAATAGTGGAGTCTTTAGACCTGAAATGTTAAGACCTATGGGACTTCCAGAAGATGTTTAAGTACTTGGATGGGGTTTAGGACTTGAAAGACCTACTATGATTTAATATTCATTTGAAAATATTAGAGATTTACTCGGTTATGGAGTCGATATGAAACTTTTGAAAGAAAATCCTATTTGTTGTTTTAGAGACTGAACATTTTTTTTTATTTAGATAATTTATTTCTCTAATATATATATATATTGAATTATTTATTTTTTGCAATATATCATTTTTTTTATATGATTTAATATAAAAAATATTAAAAATATATATTAAAAAAATTTTTTTTTTCATAAATTCTATTTTAAATATATATGTATTTTTTAAAAAAAAATAGTAAAATGATGATAATTATATTTGATGTAAATATCATATATATAAAGCATATAAAATTTAATCTGTTTAAGTTTTTTTATAGAAAATAATAAGATATCTAAAATTAATATGAAACAAAATATAAAAGTAGATATAAATTAATAATTATATATATAAAATATATAATTTATTGTAACAATTAAATAAAATTTTTACAATTAAAATAAAAATTATTTTATCAAACTAAATATACAAAAAAAGACGCTTTAAAAAGATAAAAATAAATTTAAAAAAAATATGAAAATATCTTCATTTTTTGACCAAAACGAAAAATTGCCCCAAAAAAAAATTTGGGAAAAGCCTTCTACATAAAAATCCATAAACTAACTCAGTGACATATACCTATGCAATCTATTTTTTAAAAAAACATCCAAACCAGGCATATCAAAGCAACTATATTATATATTAACCCCCGATGGTCTTTATTAAGCTGATAAAAACGAAAAATAAAAGGCTTTATGTCAACCATAACCCTACATTTGGAACTTATTCCCGATATTGAAGAAATAAATTTAATAGATTAAGAATTAAATAAATAAAATATTGTTTTGAACGGATTTCGTTTTACTTTAAATAATAAAATCCTAGAAATATATACATAAGACCCTATTTAGTATAAAAACTGGCGAAACATCTTAATTTATAGGTGTATATAGAGAACTTTTCATGAAGAATTCGTAGTTACAAAAATGATTGGAAAAGGCTCTTTCGCAAAAGTATATATGGCAACTAAAAAATCTCAAAATATACAATATGCAATCAAGGCTTTCAATAAAGTATTCATGGCCAGCTAACATAAAGGCAAATAGTCTTTAATAAACGAAATTTCAATAATGAGATAATTAGACTCAGATCATTTAATTAGACTATATGAAGTATACGAAACATCAAATTCAATTTATTTCGTTGTTGACTTATTGTAAGGAGGTGAACTCCTTCATAGAATCAGAGAAAAAGGAACCATTAACGAAAAAGATTTAAAAGTATTAATAAGAAATTTAATACTAGCATTAAATCATTTACATTAAAAAAATATCATGCACAGAGATATAAAACCTGAAAACCTTCTACTTAAGAGTAAATACTCAGATTGTGATATTGTTGTGGCTGATTTCGGATTAGCAACAAAAACAGATATATAAAATATTTTATTTAAAAGATGTGGAACACCAGGTTTTGTAGCGCCAGAAGTATTAGAATATAAAGTAATTATATATAATATGCAATTATATATTTATATATTTATATATGTATATAATAGGAAATTGATAAATTTTATGGAGTTTAATGTGATATATTTTCTGCTGGTATTATTTTTTATTTACTTCTGACAGGAAAATAGCCTTTTTAAGGAAAAGATTATAAATAAATTTTAAGATAAAATAAAGCTTGTGAGATTAGTTTTAATATTCCTGAATTAAATAAATTTAGTCCTTCAGCAATTGATTTATTGAAAAAAATGCTCAATCCTATACCGGACAAAAGATTTACAAGTGCCTAGTGTTTAAAGCATCCTTTCTTGGACATAGAAGAAGATTCATTAGGTATAGAAGCCAATTTATGTGGAAATTTAGGTTCCTATGAGGTAGAATATTTGGCAAATGTGAGGAATAAATAGTTTGATTCTCAAGATATGGTAGGCTCTATGCCACTTTTCTCTACAGGAAAGCTTCCAATGAATGGAAATATCAATACTGTCGGCTCATTTTCAAATGCTTCATTTTCTAATATGGAAAGAAAAATAATTATAAGTACAGGACCTGGTCAAAGTAGGTTTTCGAATTAAGGATCTAATGATTGTTAAATAATAGGTAATAATACTTTATAAGGCACAAAAAAGGGAAATGAAAATAATTTATTTAAGGTGGCTTTGAAAAATAATATGTATAAATAAAATGAAAAAAAAAAAGGTTAACTTTTAGATAATTAAGCTTATTATTCTCCTTAATTTAAAGCAAATTAAAATCTATGGAAAAAAAATAATACTCCATCTGGATTTACTGACTTTTTGAAAAAAGAATATTGAAAATTTTTGTTGTTGTGGTCTTTTATTTAAATATATTTTTAAATTTTTCAAAAATAAAATTTATTTTTTCCCAAAATAAATTAATTAATTAATTTTTTTTATATAAAAAAAGAATATTCTAGATTATATATAAATTTATATTTTTTAATTAAGTAAAAACAAAAAACATTAATGAAGAAAAAAAGATAATTTAGTAATAAAAAACAAAAAAACTAAAATAAAGAATTATTATGTATTAAATACCCAAATACCATAAAGTTTTTAATGAATGAATGTAAAAAAACACAAACTCGACAACCAAAAAGAATAATATAGGTATAATAATCGCCCATATAAAGAAAACAATAATAATTAAACCCGAACAAAATAATAATAGAATGCTTATTGTAAACTTCAAAAACTACTTAAAAGAAATCTAATATATCCCAAACTAGAAATCCCTTAATTAAAAACAATTTGGTGAATATTATTTGTGTAATATTTTTTGAAAAAAAAAAATAAAAAACAAAAAAAGTAAGTAATAAATAATACATATATATATATAAATTATATTTTATTTAAAATTAAAATAAAAACATATATATATTTATAAAAAAAAATAGAAAAATTCACGCATGAGGATACCACCCATAAAACATTTCCCTTAAGCTATATTCATCTTTAGAAAGTTAAATAAGACTATCAACTCCTTCCTCAACTGACCTACATTTAGTAAAGCTCATCCTATTTTTAACTGCTTATTTAATTTTATTAAAATCTAATTACATCTATTACGTATCATAACTAAAACACTCCAAAAAACCCAAAACATCATCCATTTTTTTTGCTAAAATCTAACAAACCTATACCATATGGTACCTAAAAAGTCCATAAGATTTAAAAGCCCCAAAAGCTGCTTCTATATTTTTCGTAAGTCTAAAAGGTATAGTTTCTGGTATATTCAATGCCTTTCCATGTTCCAAAATTATACTATAATCAATATGAATTACCTCCCCATCCATATTTATTAAAATATTATCTAAATGTCTATCTCCTAACCCTAGAAGATACCCAACAACAGCCCAAACTGCATAGGTAATTATATAATTTTATTTTGCCAAATACCAATTAGATGAGTTAAAAAACTTCTAATTAAAAAAAAGCTAAAAAACGGGCGGAATATTTTTCTACTTCTACCACTCAGCCCTTGAGAGCTACTACCCATTAATCTACAATTATCTTTATTAATACGGATAATTTTTCTATTACCACAAATCAGTGATTATTTTTTTCAAAGTCAAAGTATTATCTAGCCATTCTACCAAACAACAATTTACGTTTAAACGAATAATTGAATATGAAGGGATAGTATAGACTTCTTGATTTTCCTCATTGAAGATGTTATTTATGAAATTTATAAATTCTGAAGTTCTTTATTCATACATATTCATATCTTATTGCTATTTTTTTAATAGAAATCTCCTTTAAATGCCATCTGAACATTAAACAGTAATTAGTTTTGGTTTTTGTAAAGAATTCATAAATATGACGTTTGGTAGTATTTTTTCGATATAAATTGGGTTAAATATGAAAGGGCTTATGTTTTCTTTTTGAGGGCTTTTGGAAGGAATTCGGGGCATTATTTATTCTTTATAAGGAAGTAATAATTCTAGGTTTTTTAATTTTAAATTAATTAAATTTTGTAGGCATTGACTGTATTTTTTATCATTTTCTTCTATAATAGCAAAACATAGTAAATTATTATAAAAAACTTTTATTTTTTCGATATACTCGTAACTTTGTTTATTTATTTCTTTAATTTTTTTCATTATCAATTCTCCATTTTAATCTAATTAAGTTTAATTTTCGGTATATTTTTTCATAAAAAGCAATGGAAAAATCCACCAAACACTCTACTTAGGATACTCAGCGGCCACCCTAGCTAATAAAAGAGTAAAAATTTCGACACATTCCTACACATTGGTAAATAAAAGAGTAGTAAGTAAACTAATAACATTGGTAAACTTATACGTAGCTACTTATTAAAACATATTTTTAGTAAATTCTAATACTTAAGAATTTATTTTAGATTAATAATTAGAATTATTTTAATTTCTAAATAATAAAATCTATACAAATAGTTTTAATACTCTCGGTAAAGATTAATGAATGTATTTATGTCCCAGAACGGCAGATTATAAATAAGCTTTGAAAGCTTTTATTTTATTTCCGATTTCAGATTCTGAAAATTTAGCCACATTTTCCATATCATCGATATATTTTGCATATTTAAAATACGTTTTTTCACTATTTTAATATTTTTTTAACAAAATTTCAAATTATTAAATAATTTATTTTTAAGAATAAATTGTAAAGTCATGTTTGTACATATAAGTAACTCTCCTTATACTAAAAACTATATTATCGATTTTTTCGAGTTTTTTTATAGCCTTTTTTAAATTTCCTAAGGACATTTCGATTTTGGCCTGTAACTAATAAATATAAAAAGGCTCATAAAGTTATTCGTTTTCATGCCAAAGTTTTTTTGCGTTTTTTATAGCTTTCAAAGCTTATTCGAATTTTCTTATTTTATAACAATATTCAGATAAAATATAGAAAGAATGTATACTTGATTATGTGAAGTTTTCTTTATTTTATAAACTTAATATATATGAAATATATTTTTAAACCACTCTTATATTATAGCCTAATTCGTAACTTATTTCTAACGAATTTAATGTTTCCTATATTCGAATGTGTATTCCTTCTGCTAGAATTCCTAGTATTTAATTACTTGAAGTCTAATTATATAAATTTTCGTTAAAAACGTAAAATGTTTGGTCATCATCAGAAAGGGAAAAATCTATATTTTGTAAAGTTTTTATTTCTTAAAAATTGATATTATTAATATTATTTTTGTTAAAAGTGTTGTTATTAGTAATATTATTTTTATTAATATTATAATTTCTATTATTATTATTATTATTATTTTTATTTTAATTAATATTAATACTATCTTAATTATTAATACTTTAATAATTCTTACAAAGTTTAATAAAAACCAGAATATCAAATTAAATCTAAAGAAAAACGACCACCTAAATTTTAATCAAAATTGGAAATTTAGAATCAAAGCAATTTTAAGAATTTAATAAATGTAAACTGAAAGTTTTTTTCATATTCTTGAACACATTAATATACTTAAAGTACTCCCATTTAATACACTCAACAGGAAAATCTTACATTTAATTAATTTAAGCGAACCCATAACAAATACACGAAAGAAATTTCGAAAATAATATATCTACATTTTATTCCTACTCAAAAATGCTTTTAGAAAGAAAATTAATAAAGTCTTCACATTCCTTTCCTTCCTAAAATTCGCTTTTGATAATATCTTCGTAAATTTCTCTACATAAAACACCTTCTTAATTATTATTATTCAACTATTTTTAAGTATATTTATAAAAATCCTAATTTTCAAATTCCTTTACAGTATTCAAATCTACTTCCATTTTTCTCAAAATATCGAAAATATTTACATTCTTATAATCTTCCTAAACCTCCTAATAAATACAATAAAGTTAAAAAATCCATTTAGTCTTTAATGGTAGATTCTTTTCTTATTATAAATCTAATTAATCTATCCCTTATTCTAATAAATGGATAGCCTTTTTATGTTAGCCCAATTAAACCAAAATTTTAATATATTCTTCACTAGAAATAAATGCTTTCTTTTTGTAATATAAATAGATAATATATATATATATATATATATATATATATATATATATTATTTATATTTATATATACTCTTATAAATGCAAAATTTCTAATAAAGCAATTCCTACTTTTGTTATTTTTTGTAATACTCTGGGGATTAAATAAATCGTAATTTCCTGTTTAATTTTCTTTCTAAAGATCCTACCTAAACCACAAATCAAGAACCAAGATACACTTAGCAACAATAATTTTATAATTATTATGTCCTTATCTGAAAATTAGCTCAAAAGTACTTATGATTTCCTCAAAAACGCCTTCGTTTCCATTCAAAAATTTAAAAATAATATATGGAGTTAAAAATTTTCCTAATTCTGTTTATTAAATAACATCTAAGCACCCATTTATAATTCCAATAAGTTCATCTTTTTTATTAATTTTCTAAATTAATCCTGTTATCCACATCCAAAAACTAAACTTATTCCCTTATTTATTTTCAAAAAAAATATTTTCCTTTTCTTAAATTTTAAACCCATTATCTGCACATTCATTACTCACACACAAATGAACTAAAGAAATATCTGTATTGTAAATATTCATTTATAAAAAATATCTGATTTTTTCCTTTAAAATATCAGCCTTTGCATCTTATTCGAAATAAACCTAAACTAATTTTTATTCTTCAGTTTCTTCCATTTCTTCCATTTATTCATTTTGTGAATATAATGGCCCAAAAACACCCAAACAATCTAATAAAAGTCCTTATTTAATTTTTAAATATTAAAGTAGACTATTATTTGAATTTTCTTTTATAATCAGTTTCTTTACATCAGAGTTTTTAGGAATTTTCAATAGCATTTATTAAATTTATTTTTACATATTATGCATTGTCTATATTGTAATCATTTCTTTTTTTATTAAAACTTAGCTTCTTCTTTTGCTATTTTTACACTCTACTTGACTCTATTATTATTATTCACTATTTATATTATTTTACGCGCTCAGTCCTTCCTTCAAAATAAGGAATAGAGTCTATTTTAAATAGGCCAAAATAAGAACAATTTCTTCCTCAATAAGAGGTTTTTTTTCCAAGTTTTCCTTTAAAAACTCAAGAATCTATTATATTTTCTTCTCCTAGCTTTATTTTTTTACACTCTAATATTCCTCTGAATTC